TGGTGTTTCAATCCATGGTGGATTTTCTGAATTAAATGATTGAGATACATCAAGATAAAATGTTTCATTTGAAATAATACGATTGTCCACCGAAAAAATAAAGTCTATTTCCTGCAAGTACTGATGAGAAAACATTACGTGAAATAGGAGTAAACGAATTAATTTCTTTAATGAGTTTTCCTAATATTAGGGCATAATAAAGGCGTAAAATTGTCCTAAAAAATAAATTTAAAGTAATCATGATCTTTTTTTTATTTTATTTTATTTTATTTTTTTTTGAATAATATAATGAAATTTATATAAATTTTGTGTTCAACAATTGGTGGTGTTTAATTAAAATGGTGAAATAATAATTGTATTACAAATCTAAACTTGTGGTTTAGGACATTTATCAATTGGAATTGAGAGATTGAGCTTTTCTATTCGTATATTAAAGCACTTTCAAGTGTTGCACTACATAATAATATAATTTGTAAGGTTACTGCACATATTTCTCATCGAGTTTGATAGAATCTTATAATCTTATATTAAAGTAAAATTTAAACAAATTTCCTTACATAAATTATATAGTTATGCAGAAAATGATTCACACACCTTTACATAATTTATTGTTTATTAAATGTGTGTATAACTTTTATTTCTTTCAAATCAAATACTTGCCTAAAAGGTATGGACGCAAGCATTTTGAAGATCGTTCTAAAATGAAATCAAACTAGTTAGTATTCAAGCTTTCGTTGATCAGAAATTAATAAAAAAGAAAAAAAAAAAAAAAAGAATAACTTCATTAAATCTAACTCTCTATAAATTCATTTAAAGATTCTAAGAAATCATTTACAACGCTAAGCGCACATCACACCTCGGCAAAAGAAGCTATTGATTCTCTTACTTGTTCCTCACCTGAAGAATATGATATTTGTTTAGTATTCGCATCAAGAACTTACGAATCAAAAGATATTGAAATTATACCTCAGTATCTTTATTCAAAATTGCAACCGAAATTTTTAGGTGGATGTGTTGTCGACAGAATTTACGATAACAAGAATAATAATGGTCATGGCATTTCATTATTATTAGGAAATCGTAAGAAAAATGAATCAAGATTTGATGGCTTTTCCATAAATATCGAAGGATCAAAACGTCATCAATATAAATCAAATTCAGTCGGTAGATGGAAAAATCTTGACGATTTTAAAGATAAAAATGACAAATTATCTAATTTATTTGATATTAAAATTTTCCAATCGATTTCAAGTGTTCCTAATGAATTTGATTTACCCGAGGAACTGAATTTGTTGAAAATTAAAAATATAAGGTAATTCTTTTTTTTAAAAAAATACATAAATTTTTTTTTATTTTTTTTTTTTTTTTTTTTTAAAAAAATCTAGATGTTAAACGAAAAATTTAAATATAGTCCAGACTTGATTCTCTTGGCTTCTGATTCTGAGCCGTATCAATTCTTGGAATCTTTACAAGTAAAAAGGTTTACTCCTTTATTTTATTTTATTTTTTTAATTATTTTCACCTTCTAATAATTTAATTTATTTTTATTTATATTTTCTTAAAAAAAAAAAAAAAAAGATTGGAATTATTGGGTAAACTTATTCTTAATTTCCTTTTAAATTATTTTTTATAACAAATTTAAATTTTTCCATCAATATAATAGGACATCAACACCTTTCTTAACAGGTCGGCCTGTTAGTTTATTTCATAATAATAATGTTTTGTCTAGGGGTATTATAGGAGTTGCAATTACAGACGAATCATTCAAAAATCAACTTGACGTCGATCATCCATCGTTAAATGCAGTTGGGGATCCATTGAAAATCACGAGGTATTTTAATCAGAGATTAGATTTTTTAAGAGTTAATAAAATGTTACTTAATATCGTTGAAATTACTTCTTGAAGTTGTCGTGGAAATATAATTTTAGAACTTGATGGTACAAATCCTACCAGATTACTTCTAAATAGATTACAATCTGGTAATGACAAGGGAATTTTATCCAAAGAAACCGAATTTTATCTTGGATTATATGATCATAATGACAAGGATAATCAACTTGATGTATTTAACGTTATATATGTATTCCTACAAATAGAAGAAACACTATTTAACTTGTAAATTTATTTTTATTTTAGGAATCTAATTTAATGATTAATAAAATATCAAGTGGAGATCCCGTGAGAGGAAATATGGCAGTTGATACTACAATGGATCTTAAGGAAGGGCAATTTGTGAAGGTATATGAAGGTATTTAATATTACCAATCTACCATAATTTATTATAATATATTAATAGTCAGTTCAATTTTACCTTTTAAAAAAAAAAAGTTTTTTTATAGGAAGAAAGAATTTGACGCGACATATTTACAAAATAAATTAAAAGAAAATGGTGATTATTTTTTGTTTAACGAACTATTATCATTTTTGTTACTAAATTAACTTTCCTTTTATTATAGTTGAAATACAGATCGCAATGTCATCATTAGATCGGGATACAATAGACCCGGTAGCTATCAGTAATATGTTAAAGGTATATAATAATAAGAATATTTTTGGGGCCATTGGTGAGAATGGAATTATAATTGGTAAAGGTAATGGAATCACATGGGTATGTGATATACCATATTCAACTGCTTTATTTTCTAAATAAACCAATTTTAACCTAATAATCTAAGCAAAAGTTTTGATTTTAAAAAGCTAATTTATAATTTATAATAGGCCATGTGAATTATTAACATTTTCATAGTCACCTTTCATCAAATTATGTAATTGACATCCAATAACACTTGAAGCTTATGAATAAACATCTACCAAATTACCCAAATTTTTCTGCGTATAGAAAAGTTGTAATTTCCTTACTTTTTTTGTTATAATATGTGCTTATTCATCTCCAGAAGTTACTTTAATATTTCTAAGAAATCTAGATTCTTTGGAAATTCTTTCTTTTAATTTTGTGAACTCCACATAATATTTCGCGAATGGAATATCTGGCCATCTTCGTATCCGAGATTATTGAATCCCCTCCCAAAATATAATTTATGATTCTGCGTAGATAATATTCTATATATGGAACTTATAATTAATTTACAAAAAATGATCATTTTCAAAATAGTTCTTATACGAGATCATTTTTATTCTTCCTTTTAAATGCACTGTAGAAAATTATTTGACTTTAGTAAAGTGGGCAAGGATAGAAAATCGCTTACTTTATTTGAATCTACGTTTCTTGATTAGTAGTCAAATAATTAGCCTCGGTTGCATTTGTATAAATTTTTTACAGGGCACAATCGTGTTTGACACAACACGAGGAAATTTTTAGCTATTAACATTATACATAATATCTAGTGAATAAATTATATTGCTTTAATTGTCGTCTTTAATCAACCATTAACATACGATACATAAAAAATTAAATTAAAATTATTATGATTATAAAGTTATACATAAAATTTACCCTATTCATAATAAATAAAAAATAGACGGAGGCTATTAAATTCCGACCTAGTGGAAAATACCATGAGGGTTATGGCAGATTGTAGATTTGAAATGTACTGTAATTAAAATATGGCTCCAAATATGTTCGTATAAAAGGAGCTATAACATTTAATATAATTCCGAACAAAGTAGTAAAGTTTGCATTTATTGAAGGCGTATATATATATTATGTCAATCGTAGATGTCAATGTGGATATAGTATTATTTGATAAATTTTGGATATAAGAAATGATTTAAGGAAGAATGATGAAAAACAGAACATTGATGTTGGATCTTTGATTATTGTGTTTGGGTCTTTTAAGGTCTGAAGAGATTATTTCTGCTGTTAACTATAAATGTTAACCCAGGCCCGTTTTACTCAGCAAAAGTAATTTGTTCGTATTCGATCATTCATTAGTTATATTTTCGTGTCATTAGCATATTAATAATTAATTATCAATGTTGGTTTAAAGAAGTTTGTTAAACTTGGCTTATCATAAAATGGTGAATTAGTTTTTAATATACATCAACCTAAATTGTCTTTACATATTTTTGGACAATTTTGGAAGAAATTTAGAGGTCAATATTTTATTATTATTATTATTTTTATTATGATAAAAATAATAACATATTTGGAGCATTTTGAGTAGAAAAGTTGTCATTTTTTTAATACTTTTTCTTACCTTTTACTTTTTTGATAATGATAAATATTTAGGTTATTTTTATAATTTTATTATTATCTTTATTTTTTGAATAAAAGCAATATAATAATAATACATATTTAGAACAAATTTGGTGATTTTGAAAGGAAATGACTCATATTTTATATTATTATTAAATTGATTATCTTTTTGCATGGTTTTTCCATTTTTATATTTTTAATAAAAAATTAATAAGTAGGCTTTGGTAATATTTTTTTGTTATGTTTAGTTAATTTTATATTAGGTTTTTATTATTAATAAACTAGAAAATAGTAACTGTTGTTAGTAAAATTCCATGATGTTACAAAATTATTTTATTATTATGATCTGCAAGAAAATAGATCACAATTATCATCAAATTCATGATTATTTACAAAATATTATAATGATCACAATTATCACAGTATCATTATTTTTTAATATATTTATTTTTAATAATTATAAAAATTAATAAACATTTTATTAAATTTTATTTTATTTATTATTATTTATTTATTATCATAGTTAAAGAACAAGTTTTTATATTATAATTCTCAATATAGTATAATCTTAATAATGTAAAACTAATATTTTGCTATTCACAATTTCTTTAAAGATAAAAAATTGTTCATTTAGAATAATAAAATATCATTTCAAATGAATGATAAAATATTATTTATTTGGAATGATAATAACAATTATTTAAAAAGAATAATATAATAAAATTATTCATTTGAATGATAATACATTATTTTAAAATAATAATAAAAATATCATTCATTTAAAATGATAAAATATTATTCTAAATAAATAATATAAAATTATTATTTATTTGAAATTATAAAATATTTTTCATTTAGAATAATAAATATCATTCTAAGTGAACAATAAAAATATTGATTATTTAGAATAATAATATATTATTCCATAAGAATGATATAAAAATTATTTATTTAAAAGATACAAATATCATTTCTTTAGAATAATTCAAAATATCATTTCAATTAAATAATACAAATATTGTTTGATTAGAATAATTGAATTATCATTCTAATTGAATAATAAAATATTATTCAATTAGAATAATTGAATTATTATTTAAAATAAATGATATAACATCATTTGATTAGAATGATAAAAATATTATTCTAAATGAATGATATAAGAAAATTGTTTATTTGAAATAATTAAAATTATTATTCTAATTAAATGATATAAGAATCATTTAAATGAATGATATTTATATCATTTTTTTAAAATAAATGAAATATCATTCTAATTGAACAATAAAAATATCATTTAATTAAAATAATTAAATAATTATTTAAAATAAATAATATAAATATCATTCAATTAGAATGATAAAAATATTGTTCTAAATGAATGGTATAAGAATCGTTTATTTAGAATAATTTAATTTATCATTTTAATTAAATGATACAAATATTATTCATTTAAAATAATTCAAATTATTATTTTAAATAAATGATATAAATATTGTTTAATTGATATGATTAAAATTATTATTCAATGATATATAAATTGTTCATTTAGAATAATTCAAAATATTATTCTAATTGAATAATATAAGAATCGTTTATTTAAAATAATTTAAAATATCATCTTAATTGATAATATAAGAATAATTCATTTAGAACAATTCAAAATATCATTCTAAAAAAATGATATAAACATCATTTATTTAAAACAATTTAAAATATTATTTCTATAAAATGATTCAAATTATTATTTCAAATGAGTAATAAAAATTTTGTTTTTTTAAAGATTTAAATTATCATTCTAAAGAATAATATAAAATTCTTTCATTTAAAATTATTAAAATTATCATTTTAATAAATAATAAAAAATATTATTTAATTGGAATAATTTAAATTATTTATTTTAAATAAATGATAAAAATATCACTTTTTTAGAATAATTTAAAATATCGTTTCTTTAAAATGATTCAAATTATTATTTTAAACAAAATAATAAATATCATTCTTTTAGAATTTAAAAACAAAATATCAGTTATATTTTCTTTCAAATTTTATTACATTTTAGCTAATATTCATCTATATATAATTAAATATCAATCAACTATAAATAAGATAAATTAAATTTAGCTAAATTTTAGCCAATTCTTAATATATGCTAATTTACTAAACAGATTTTTGATGATTTGCCAATTTTAGATTGATTTTAGATCAATTTTTTGCATTTCTAATTTTTGATTTTGATCAATGATAGTTATTAAATATATATTACTTTTTATTTATTATAATAAAAATGATTTTTATAATTTATAATTAAAATTATTTTATCTTAATTAAGGATGGTAATGGTTAGTTATGATTAGTCAGCAGTCAGTCAATAGTTAGTCAAAGACTTTTAACTAATTGACCTATTAGCTAATTGATTTAATTAACCAGTTAATCAAATGGTTAATAATA